AGAGATCGAAGGATCATTTAGCCTGCACTAATGTCAATGTGGGACCATGTGCAAAAGTTCCTGATGAGATGAAAAAGGAATGTACAAATTTTTTAAAGAAGTTTGCCACTACAAAGAAGGTCATACAAAGAAATATGGAATAGATGATAGGATACTCTTCTTATTATGGATCACAGCATGAAGGTTCCAGTACTGTAAGCCATCTAGTTTCTTCTGACCGAGGCAGTCGGGGGCCCATGGATAGATTTATGCTAAATATTGATAACGAGGAAAACATAAATACTCAGGATATTCAGCCTCCTACAGCTACAAAAGAACTCAAAAACAGAGTTTATTTGGATATCACCAGATACAATTATGAAAATGGGATTCCATTTAATGTTGTTAGAAGTCCATCATGGATCAATATGTTACGATCTGTTGGAAGCTATGGAAGAGGATTACAACTTCCAAGCATGTATGAGCTGACGATTTGGATGCTGAATGAAGAGGTTAAGACAACTTCAAAAATGGTGGATGATGTTAAGAAGACTTGGATTGAGACAGGAGTGACAATAATGTCAGATGGTTGGTCAGATATTCGACATAGAAGTATTATTAATTTCTTGGTCAACAATCCATATGGAACAGTTTTTCTCAAATCAATAGATGCTTCAAGCTTTGTAAAGGATGCACAATTATTGTTTGAAATGTTGGATGAAGTTGTGGAGGAAGTGGGAGATGCCTTAGTAGTACATGTTGTTACTGATAATGCAAGTGCATACAAAGTTGTAGGAAGAATGTTAATAGAGAAGAGGCCTCACCTTTACTGAACTCCTTGTGCTGCACATTATATTGACTTGATGCTTGAGAGGTTGGGATAGTTGCCTCAACATAATTCAGCCATATTGGCAAATTCGTTAGTAAGTTTATATACAATCATTCTTGGGTACTCAGCTTGATGAGAAAATTCATTGATAAGGAAATTATTAGACCTACTGTTACAAGATTTGATACTGCATATTTAATATTGCAGAGATTCAAGTAGTTAAGACAACCTTTGGAAGCAATGTTTGCTTCCGAAGAGTGGGATAAAAGTTTATGGGCCAAAAAACAAGAAGGAAAACAAGTTAAAAAGATTGTTATGAAAGACGATTCATTTTGGCGCAGTACAAATTATGCTTTGAAGACAACAAGACCATTAGCAAAGGTGCTTGGAATGGTTGATGGTGAGAGGGCCCCGGCTATGGGATTTATTTATGGAGCAATGAATAGGGCTAAAGAAGACATTGCAAAAGAATTGGGAGGTCAAGAAAGTGCCTACAAATAAATATGGGATATTATAGATGAAAAGTGGGATCGACAGTTACACAAACACTTACATGCCGCTGCGTACTATTTAAATCCCCAATTTCATTATGATAAGGATTTTTATGTTGACAAAGAGGTGAAAACTGGTTTGTATGCATATATGGACAGACTCATTTCTAAAGAAGACTACCTCAAAGTGAATGATCAGCTTGAGAATTTTCATTTGAAAAAGGAAATATTTGGATTTAGAGCAGCACAAGCATACTACAAAACACAATCTCCTGGTATGTTTATAGTTTGAGTATTTATAATTTTAATGTTAATATTTATATTCAAGTCTTCTACTTCAACCAATATTCATAAAATATTATGTTTGTCTTCATGTAGAACGTTGGTGGGCTCAGTTTGGAGATGATGTTCCTGAATTGAAAGCTTTTGCAGTTAAAGTTCTTAGCCTAATGTGTTCGGCTTCTGCATGCGAGCATAATTGGAATATATATTCAATCAAATTCATACAAAGAGAAGAAATCGATTGGCGGCAGATTGAATGAACAAACTAGTTTATGTTATGTTTAACAAAAAACTGAAAGATAAACATCTCAAATTGCAAAATCAAGAAAATATTGAGAATGAAATTGACCCTTTGCTTGTTAATGAGCTACAATCTGATGATGAATGGGTTACTCCTAAGAATGCTGATGTATCTGAAATTGAAGTAGAAGGAGAAAGTCATGTCAATGAAGAAGACAATGAAGCAACTATCCAAGTATATAAAAGAAAGAAACAAAGTGAGATTGAAGCTTCAAAAAAATTTAAAAGTATTCTTAAATATAATGAATTATTTTGTATGTTACTATAGTTTCATTTTAGAGCTAATGAAATATTAACTGATATAAGAGATAAAGGAAAAAATATTATAGATGAAAAAGAGTTGGAGGATGACTTTGACATTAATTATGAAGATTCTTCTAAAGACAATCAAAGTGATGATGAGCCTGTTTTGAGTCTTGATCCTAAGGGGATGTTTTATTTTTAAGTGTGTTTATTTTAAATCTTGTATTCCAGTAATATTATCTTAAAATAAATCTTCAAATTCATAGTTGACATAATATTTTGTTATTTTTTGTCATTATTTAAAATTTTAAATTAATTTATTTTAATCGTTTTGAGGCTTACACCTCGATCCGCCTCGAGGTTTACGCCTCGCCTCACTTAGAAAAAACGCCTCGATTCCCGATTTCGCCTTTTAAAACCTTGTGCCAAAGCATAATAAACGTAGGATTTTGTTTTGCATTTGTCAAAGCTTAGTAAACGTAGGATTGAGTGGACTTTATTTGCTCTTAATCTTATTATTATATTAGGAATTTTTGTTGAAAACTATTTACTTAGCATGATTGTTGAATTTATAACTTGTTTTGATTTTTCCAAGTGTTTGGCAAAGCGGCTTACCTAAACGTAGGCACCCTTCTCTTGTTTTATTTTATAATTTGAATTACTAATAGTTTTTTTTTATCTTACTTGCTTATTTCAAGAATTTGTGCAAATTCTTTTACATTCATATAGTTCTACATCACGGCTTGGGTTGGAGAGGGGAGGGAGGTTAGTTAAGGGTTTGGGACAAGGTGGTTGGCGATTTAGGATGATGGCAGAGGACCAAGTGGGTCTCGGTCATGGGAGAAAGAGGGAGTTAGGGGTGGCAGCTAGAATAAAGAAAAAGGGGAATTAGAGAAGAAGATAAACCACGAGCACAAACACTTCCTGCGGCTGATGGGTAATACTTTGCACTCACCTAGAGACTTTAAACCACGAGCCCAGACGCTTCTTGCGGCTGGTGGCTATTGTGTTGCCCTAACCTAAGGACTTCCACTCTCCTAAGAACTCTCATAGCTCTTAAGAACAAAGTGAAGAAATTCTTTCTTAGTAATCATTCATTCCCTGAAAATGATGAGGAAGCTTTAAATAGCCAATATACAATGAAGGAAAACAAAAAAGACAAACAGGCCCTAGGGCTTACATAGGACTACTCCCGCAAGTGAGGGTAGAAACGGAAAAAATGCATAAATAATTCAAAATACAAATAATAACTCAAAATAAAGTGGAGCGATCATGGTCGTCGATCTTTGACTCCTATGATAAACTTTCAATATCGGATGTCCTCATCATTCTCCCGGGGTGGAAAAAAGCTTGACTCCGTCGAGTTCGCATCCCGGGTACGCAACCATGCTCTGATACCAAACTAATGTAGAACGATATGGCAAGCAAGAGATAGGGACAATGATTTAAATAACTAAAATACTTGCAAACATATGAATTTTAATTAAGAAAGGATTTTGAATTAACTCCTAATTAAAGAAAATTCAAATTAGCCTGATTTGAGGGGCTTTCTTAAATAACTTATCTTATTTTAGGAAGGAATTTCAAATTCACTTAGATTGTTATCTGAAATTAAGAACTTTCCTAAATTAAGATTCACCCAATATGGAAGGTAATAAATAGCCAATTTGAAATTGTGGAGGAAATGGAAAGGGGGATTTAAATTTGAATCTTCTCCAAATAAAGGAGAGAGGAAAGTGTGGGCCGGCCCCTTAATGAGGACTTAATTTGATGACTAAAAAAGGGGTTGTCAAGTTAGGAAATTTAAATTAGGAAAGGATATTTAAATCATCTCCCATTTAAATTCAAATAGACATGATTTGAGGGACTTTCCTAATATAGGTTTCCTTAGGAAATAAAATTCAAATTCAAATTCAATGGAATATGAATTTAGATAGTTTACAAAATTAAAGGGAGCTATTTTAGTAAAAAGATTTAAGTGCAGAATTTTGAAAGTGGAGCCAAAGGGAGGGAGTGTTGGCCGGCGGCTTTTGGAATGGGATTGGGGTCGGCCATTGGTTGATGTTCGGGCTTGGCCTTGGGTGGAAGGTCTCGGCCAAGGTAGGAAATGAAAAGGGGGGTGGCGGCTAGGGTTGGAGAGGGGAGGTTAGTTAAGGGTTTGGGACAAGGTGGTCGGCGATTTGGAATGAGGGTAGAGGACTAGGTGGGTCTCGATCAAGGGAGAAAGAGGGAGTTAGGGGCAGCGGTAGAAGAAAGAAGACGAGGAATTAGAGAAGAAGATAAACCACGAGCCCGAATGCTTCCTGCAGCTGATGGGTAATACTTTGCCCTCACCTAGAGACTTCAAACCACGAGCCCGGATGCTTCCTACGACTGGTGGCTATTGCATTGCCCTAACCTAAGGACTTCCACTCTCCTAAGAACTCGCATAACTCTTAAGAACAAAGTGCAGAAATTTTTTCTTAGTAATCATCCATTCCCCTCAAATGATGTGAAGGCTTTAAATAGCCAACATACAATGAAGGAAAACAAAAAAGACAAACATGCCCCTAGGGCTTACATAGGACTACTCCCTCAAATGAGGGTAGAAATGGAAAAAATGCATAAATAATTCAAATTACAAATAATAACTCAAAATAAAGTGGGGCGATCATGGCCGTCAACCTTTGACTCCTATGATGAACTTTCACGATTGGATGTCCTCATAATTCACCGTCAAATACATGGTATGTGGGTTATTTTAAACATTTTGATGTTTCTTTTAAAAATAAAATAGATTTTGAAGATACACGTCATATAGTTTTATCTCATTAAAATAGGACTTGAAAGAGAGCAAGAGATTCATAAAACCTGAATCTTTGAAGAAAAACAAGTACCTGATAGAGAACATGCATCCAGTTAGCATCCCTAGGACCAGGGACGTGCTTCAATATTGTACCAAACTTCTCAAATTCACGCAGCACCAGGTTGGTATCACCCGGGGCAAATCTAATGAGGAAAAGTTGCATATTTATTTCTAATATATTATACACTTCAAATATATACCAAAGTCAAACGCTAAGATCATCATATAAAAATATAAAAAAGAAGCTAGGTTAAAAACCGTAGGAAATTCACAAATTAATGAAAAATGCTTAGAATTAAGGATTTTGAGTATAATCCTAGAATAGAGCAACATAATAATCTTTAAACTAACAGTCTATCGACTACCAATTGAACTTTAAAACATGGCCTGGAAACCGATCAACAAATGCACCAGTGAAATTTCACATCATGGCATTTATAATAATAAAATCGATTCAAACAAGTAGGAAAAAGAAAGAAAATAATTACAGAAACCATGATGTGGAAAATTCCTTTATGGCAGATCTCAGACCTTCGAAATGGAGCAACAGCTCCCAAGTCACAATTAATATAAGGAAATATCATTTGTTTTCGGGTAACTAGTTCAGCATATGTATAGATTAACATTTTGATATATTCTCATCATCAAAAATAGCTTTATAACAAACTATTTGGGGTTAAATTGATTAATAATTATTCTCTATTCATTACTTGTAAGTGGTGCATGTAAGGGTGACACTGAGTTGACGTCAAGCAAATCATCTTCAACTCGAAATTGGAAGTCAAAAGTTATCAATTCAAAATGGATTTCAAAGTCATTTCAATAAAGTTAGTAGATCTAATAAAATATTTTTTTTTATTGCCAAAAAAGTATATATATATCAATTCTCATAAAAAAAATCATTTGAAGATAATTTTTATGCCACCTATACTTTTTTCATTAACTTGATGCTCTTCATAGCTCTTCCGATAAATATTGTGTCCATATTTTTCCAGGTGTAAAATGAAATCAAATCACCAATACAATTAGAAAGATCTATCTCATTGTAAAGAATGCAAAACCAACAAAAATACAAGAATAAAAAGAACGAAAAAAACTTCTAATAGCATGGTGATATATTGGTGTCGTATAAAACAATTAGACTAGTGTCTAAAGTCTACAACTCCAATGTGGGTGGTTGGTCAAGCTTCATTTAATTATAAAAATATGCAAATTAAATTTTAATACTACGTATTGATTTATAAGACAATCTAGGCTTGGCCTTGGATGAGGCAAGCCAACAAGAGCCAGAGAATTGAGAATTGAGATTGGTGCTGTGATAATAGAATTCAAACGGATGGACAACCGCAAGAGTATGAGAATCATCCTTTTGCACCCTGATGATTTTGTAGCGCCTTTTTAAGTAAAGGGTAGCCTTTTAGAGAAATAGGTAAACCAAAGTTAGTTTCAAGGACAAATAACCCAAACCTAATTTTACTCCAATGCAACTACAAATTAAAAAAAGTAATAAAAAAGGCCCCAGTCTTTCCATTAATCGTTGAAGTAAACAACCATTGGTCTTATTTGTGCTAGTCATCAAAGATGTCACCAATGGGTTTCCTATAATCCTTATTTTTTAAGATTTTTCCTTAAGTTATACTTTAATAATGTTTATATTTAATTATATTTTGTAAACAAAAACTACATGATAAAAAATTTTGTGGGGGCATATGTCTTGCGCCTCAGATTAAATGCCTTGCCTATAACCATGGTTTAAAATTGTGAAATTTGAGGCACGACTCAGTGCAATTTCGCCCGTTTATGCATCAAGGCTTATGCTTTGAGGATGGAATTTGAGGGGTACGCCTCAATTATACTAAGGCACGCTTCGCCTCATTTATTCGAGGTGTTCGCCTCTCGAAATTATAAAAAAACTTAAACCTAATATTTATTTCGCTGGTAATACTTCGCCAGTGTTGTACCTAGCCTTTCGAATTCATCTCACCTCTTCGCCTCTCATAATCCTACTATTCTTCTTTTTCACATGGCCTCTCATCTTCATCCTCAACCGCGACTTCTGCTGGCCTCAACCACGATTGCTGCTTAGCGTGGTCTTGAGTGCGCCCTTGACCACGAATGCCTTTCACTTCTTCAGCGAGTGGCTCATCGACTCATCAGGTCCGCCTCCGGCCTTCCTCTTCTTTTTTTGCGACAACAGATGTATGACTTATTTGTTTGTTGAATGTCTATCACCACATCTTAAAAAAAAAAAACAAGTTCTTACATACTAGTGGGTAATTTGCAAACTCAAAATGTCCTTGAGCTTAATTTTTCTTAAAAAAATTGTTGTTTTGGTTTGTGAAACATTTCTTACTCATTATGTTGGTTAGAGAATAGGGGATTTACATATCATGATTGTTATCTAAAACTCTAAAATAAGAACAAATCAACAAACATTTTATTTTTTTTATTATGTAACAGTAATATGATTCTGAATTCTAGATGATATTATAGAAATCCTTGTCACATCTTAAAAAAAAAACAAGTTCTTACATATTAGTGGGTAATTTGCAAACTCAAAATGTCCTTGAGCTTAATTTTTCTTAAAAAAATTGTTGTTTTGGTTTGTGAAACATTTCTTACTCATTATGTTGGTTAGAGAATAGGGGGATTTACATATCATGATTGTTATCTAAAACTCTAAAAAAATAACAAATCAACAAACATTTTATTTTTTTTATTATGTAACAGTAATATGATTCTGAATTCTAGATGATATTATAGAAATCCTTGTTTCAAGTTATAAATGTTGTAATCAGTGAATGTTCTCTCCATATGGCAACTTTTAGTGAGTCTGGAAGATTTGGTGAGAAGTCCAATTGAGTTAACAATATGTTTTTGTTTAAATAAATAAGTTTAGATGTGAAATATGTAAATTAAATAGTTATGAATTCTATGAATTAAAATCCCAATTCAAAATTTCCATATAGAGCATACTACACATGATTTAGGGCATCTAAATCTGCAAATGATTTAGGCATCTAAATCTACCATCTACAATTTTATGTTAACTTTGTTAATGCATTTATGATATAACATATTTGAGACATGGAACGAGTATCAATCATAGTCGACACAAACAATTATTCTAAGATTGGTTGGATGAACTTTTTTTTTTTTTTGAGAAGAATGTTTGTAATTTGTTAAATTAGTTATGTTGTTTATTTAATCAATAATGTTCTATGTATTGAGTGCATGTTTCATATTCAGCTCGTAAGTGATGTTCAGAAGTAGAGGTAAAGTTGCATCAGGTCATACGAAGGATCCAGCACGGAAACATAGCACTCAAGTGGATGTAGGAGGCAGTGATAAAATATATGTATATCTGAAATGTAATTATTGTGACAAAGTTGTGAAGGGTGGTGTGACTAGGATGAAAGAGCATCTTTCAGGGTCCCATAAGAATATTGCACCATGCACTAAAGTCCCTGATACATTCAGGGAGGAGATAAAGGCATACATGAATAAATCTATCACGTCAAAGCATCTTGCACAAAAGCAGTTTGAGGACAAAATTGACATTAGCTCCTACTACGATAGTGAGCGTAGTAGAAATTCATCTTCTTCGATGAATCCCTTATCTTCTAGGGTGCAAGAGGTCCCATGGATCATTACATTGTGCAAACATCATAGGATAGACCTTCTACTATATAGAGGATGGCCCCAAAGAATACGAGGGAGGCAAGGAAAAGATTATATAAGGATATAGGCATATTCTTCTATAAAAATGCAATCTCATTTAATGTTGCAACATCACAACATGATTCGATCAGTTAGAGCATTTGGGAGAGAGTTCAAACCTCCAACCATGTATGATTTCAGAATGTTGATTTTGAAGGAGTTGGATAATACTGAGAAAAATATTGAAGAAAGTAAGATGACATGGCCAAACAGGTGTAATTATTATATGAGACAGTTGATTAGATATGGAGAATAGAAGTTTAATAAACATTCTGATTAATAATCCCTACGATACTATATTTATGAGGTCAATTGAAACATCTGATTAGGTCAAGGATGCTAAGTACATATTTGGATTATTAAACAGCGTTGTTGAGGAGGTTGGAGAATATTTATTAGTACAAGTGGTAATATATAATGTCGGTGCTTACAAGGCTGCAGGAAAAAAACTTAGGAAGAAGAGAAAACATTTATATTGGACTCCATGGGTTGCACATTGCATAGATCTCATTCTTCAGTAGTTTAGAGCTGCCTCAACAAAAGAAAACATTTACTAAAGAAAAAAAAATAACTAAGTTTATTTACAATCATTTTTAGATTTTAGCTCTTATGAGAAAATTTTCGAAGAAAGAAATTCTAGGACCAGCAGAGTAAGATTTGTAATCGCTTACTTGAAATTGCATAATATGTTGGATGCTAGAAAACTTTTAGAGTCTATGTTTAGCTCCACATAGTGATTGAGTTGTGCATGGACAAAGAAAGCTAAGGTAAAAGTGGCTAGAAAGATTATTTTAAATGATAACTTTTGGCGTCTCTTGTACGTCATCACAACCACTAGACCTTTAGTATAAGTTTTACGAATGGTGGATGCAGAAAAGAATCCTATTATGGGTTTCATCAACAATGTTATGGATGAAGCTAAAGAAATGATTGCCAGCAACTTAGGGGGCAAGGAGGAAAGTTATAGGAAAATTTGAAATATTATTGATGATAGGTAGAAGATACAACTTCACCGACACTTGCATGCAATAGGTTATTACTTACACCCTTAGTATCAATATACAAAGAATAAGTCTACAAATCCTAAAATAAAGTTGGGATTGCATCATTATATTGATCAATTGATAGGTGATACAATTAAAAAATCAAATGTTGGCATGCAATTTGTACCTTTTAGGAATAAAGAAGATTTTTTGGATTATAATAAGCAAAGCACAATATTTTCAAACAATCTCCATGTAATTTCATTTATTGTTTAATCATTTATTTAAAAGTTGTTCTTTGAGCACAGACTATACTTATTTATGTAAATCTTAGTTGAGTGGTGGATTCAGTTTGGTTATAACACTCCAGAATTGCAGTGTTTTGTTGTGAAAGCTTTGAGATTAACATATTCCTCATCTAGCTGTGAACGGAATTGGAGTACCTACAACCAAGTTCATACAAAGAGGAGAAATCATTTATCAATATTGATGATGAATTCACTAGTGTATATTTGTACAATATGAGACTCAGAGATAGGAACTTCAAAAAAAAAAGATAAAGGATGACGAAGATCCTTTGCTTTATGAGGATATGGCATCTGATGATGAGTGGTTTGTAGATGATGAAGTGAAAGTGAAGTCATTTGAATAATGAGAGGAAGATTCAAATATTGATTTCTTTAATGTTTATAGAGCATCTACGTCAGTCACAACTCAAGAACATACCAAAAAAGATATATAAATAATATAGTTTTCATAGACTTTACTTTTATTAATGTATTACTAATCTTAATATTGTTCAAAAATATTTAGGGAAGAGGAAGATAACTGATATTGAAAAAGGAGTTGATTGGGAGACATTAGACTCCATAGGAGAGGAGGAAGGCGAGACAGCAATTCATCATAACGATGATTCAAATGAAAACTCCCTTAGATATGACAGTGCTGATGACTTCTAAGTTGTTATGTCAATGCTATTTTCTTTTTGAATTACATGTTAATGAAAAGGATATTGTGATTTGGGAAAGATAGAAATTTGAGTTGAACAATATTTTATGTTATCTTATTATTGTGACGTTTGGATTTCACTTTAATTTCAAACAATTTATTACTTGACACTTTATATCTTGTATTTTTTTAAGTTTTATATCATTAGATTACTCATTAGTATATAAAATTTTATCATTTTATCTTTATATAATTTTTCATTTTGAGTCTTCACCTCAGAACGCCTTGAGCCTTACATCTCACCTCATGAAAGAAACACGCCTCAATACCAGATTACACAATTTTAAACCTTGCCTATGACACATATAAATCCTCATTTGGAAACCCTTGGTCAAATTCATAGGTTCAATTAAGGCATGTACGGCGGAATTGAACTAAAAAGAGACTATGGCTTATTTTCCAAATATCATTATAATCCTTAAACAAGTGATAGTGTTTTCTCATTGCATAAGAATGATGTTGCATATTTTCTTCTTCTCAACATTTGAAATTTTTGCTCAAGTTATGGTTACCTCTTGTTGGTCAATGACTTAAACTTCAACTAACATTTTTTTTACAACCAATAAGGCATGAGCAAAGGCATTAGGAAATCTTTAACAATTATTCATCTACTTCAATTGTCTATCCATCCAAAGATCACAAAACAATCTAGGTATGGCAAAATAAATACATTGATGGGGGTCTTTAAGTTGACAATCAACTAGGTGGATGAAATTCATATATTTGCAGCCATGAACTAATAAGCATTAATATTGGATTAACAAGGCAAATTAGTAACAGAGAACTCTGCTAGTTAGGTTTCATTACCTCAAACAATTGTTCTTATTTCTCTTTTTCCTTGTTATCAAGTTTGTTGTGTGCAAAGTTGTGTAGAAGGGAAAAACATTGTTATTTAAAAATAAGACAAACATATCTATTCTGACTAGATAAGAACTCAAGATTTTTCCCTATCCAAGTTTTCAACAAAAAATATGATTCATTTGGATCTATGCAACTGTCTTCATATCTGAATGTATGAGGGATCCTTTTGCAAGCTAAGGCATTAACTTTAAATACTTAGCATTGTGAATCTTCTAACATGCAACAATGTTGGCTAAACAATTAGCATCAATTTTAATTCTTAAAATTCTAAATATATATTACAAGAGAATCATGTAAGATCACTTGATACAATTGACTTGAATGTAAGACAATGATCGCTTTTCTATTGTTGATTGCAAGAAACATGTTAGTTATTATTCTAAACACTTGATAGTCATCTAAAAGGGAGTATTACATGAACCATTCCTAAGTTATTCATATTGTTAGACATGTTAAATTAATAATAAAGCTCACAAAAACTACTAATAAAATTTTCATTTTCTCTATAGACATCAATACAAACCTTTACATAACTAAATACATGGATCTCTCATAATAAGATAATTCATTGACATTAAATCATGTGGCATTGACTCTCAATTGACTATGGGCATCACTCCAATATTGCTGAGAGAACTTCATACAAACATCCAACTATAAAAAAATTTCACTTCAAACACCACTATTAATTGATTGATAGAGAAAAACGTGAAATAAAACATTGAATGAAGCACAGAAAAAACAAGCCTTTCGAACGTCATAACTTGCACAAGCTCACATAACAAATGGATAAGTGGATAATAGAAAATACGTTGACCGCACATACCCATAAACAGTAACCCACTCTTCCTCATTCAATGCTCCCATGGATAGGTTATTCCTCTGCATCTCCGGCCTAACAGCTTCCCTTGGAGGAGGCAGCATGATTAGTGCTCCTGGCTGCACTTCACCATCAACTGGAGAACCTCTGCCCTTCTTCTCCAGCTCCGGCTCCCCAGTCTTCAACGGCGACCACCAGCTAGCGCTCCCTGGACTATGCTGGTGCTGCTGCTTCGCAAGTTGAAACCCACCATTTTCCAACACAGAACTACTCAGTTCCGCCGCCCTGCTTCTATGAAGAGAAGGAGAGGATAAATATCCGCGCGAAGGATTTGGTGTCCTCGAATCAGATCCCAGCTCCGGCGAGGCTGGAAACTCGCCTAGGGTGGGCTCAGGGGAGAATTCAAGGCGATCCTCCAGTGTGAACACAGGAGGTGGCGGCGGTTCCGATCCGCCGAAGTTTTCGTGCCATTGGGCGGAGAGGGCAGCCGCTTGGCCGGGGATGGTGAATCTCCCGCCAGCGCGATGGACGGAGACCGGCGAGGCAAGATCGTGAAAAAAGAGGGATTGCCTCTCTGATTTATAATTCCTCCGCGACGTCGAGCCCATAGTTAGTTCCCACCAGCCAGCGACTATAGTGCAGAAAAGAAACCCTAAAACCTGGAGCTCGGCGTAGACAGTGGAGGGAGGGGGGGTTATTTTTAGATTTTAAACTGAATTTGAAAATATTTAAAGTTAAAAAAATATATATTTATTAAAATTTTCCTTAATGAACTAATTAGTAGGTGATTACACCATTGTTTGATAACAAGAGCCTAAACTGAGGGAAATTCATTAACCGTAAATTTTATACTATTT